TTTTGTTTCTTCAAAAAGTTGAACTAACTTCGTAACTTCGGCTTTACCTAGGAAAATGTTCACGCCTCGCCACTGATATTACTTGACCCTAAGACTGGATAATGTTAATTAATTTATGTACAAAGTTTGAAGGTTACAAGACTACCTTTAACTACAACTGAGCAAGTTTTATTTAAATGATTTCTCAATATTATGTTTTTTAACTCTTTTCAGGGTTGCAAGAACTGTTGACATAGTTCAATTATTTGTTTTCAGAAACAATTTGCTACTTATGTCTTTCTCTTACTACGATTTAGTTTAGAAGTAGCGTCTTTATATTACCTTTTATTTCACGCTAGTTCATTTAAGGAATTGAATATAATATATTATATAATATATTAATATTGAATATAATATGTAGGTGTAAAGATCCCGTAGAGCTACCATCGAAATCCCAGTATAGTATATTGTATGTACTTTTTGTAACTTTTCACTTACTTTTGTATGAAAAACGTATTTTTATAGATACCCCATGGTCATATAGAATGTAGAATGCTAAATTTGAATGAGATTTTTTAAATAATTTCACGAGCTCGACTCACGCCCGCTGTCGGTGCATTTCACACTTAATATCGTGTGGGTATAAATTACGTCACTTATTATGTAACTTTCGATGTACACGGAGCTTTAGGGATACCTTTCCTAACGCAGATATCGCTATACTTTAGCAATAGTTTTCAATGTTTATATTATAATAGTTATTTGATATGCAAGGCTGCAAAGTTGTTGTTTGACGCATGTGCTTGTATTGAAATCTAAGCAAGCTAAGGTTGAACCACGAGAGAAGCGACTTATTCAAAAATAGATTCCTGAGCATAGCGAGGGTAGACCTGTGTCGGTCGAACGTTTTTGATAACCCGGGTCGATCATGACCATTGACTTACAATTATATGGACGCCGGGTCCGCGCTAAAAAGTGTCCGCACTTGTAAGGCGCTAAAATCGTATACAGAGCGCGACACTCCGCTTTAGTCTTCATTTGTTCTACTGACAGCGCGATACTGCGATGACATTACAATTTAAATTTCGAATAGGTTGACTTGGGACATTTTTTTCATGGTTTTTGTATTAGACCCGTCGTCCATTTATTTGTAAGTCAATGATCATGACCCATGCGTAATGTGATTCGATCATATGTTCAATCTCTTAGCGGGTCACCCGTCGCTCACGATACTTCCATATCGCGTTTAAAAGTGTCAAATTATACAGTCAGCTTTTATTTTTTCCTGCTGACGGGTAATGTGTACAAAGTTAAATGCATCATTATATATAGATAGACCACACTTAGGACACTAAAATTTATTTCTAGGAAAAGTAACACCTACAAAACAAAAATACATAATAAGAAACTTATGAGCATTAAAAATTACTTATTTATTAGTCATTAATATTTTAATATTAGCTAGTGCACTCATAAATAACACAACATTCCGAAAAGTATATTAAACTTACAAAATTACTATGCAATGGACACTACGCCACGGAGCAATTAGGATGAATTGATCTCATTGATCCGTTGACCCGTTGACCCATTAACTCGTTGATCGATTGTTTGACTTTTTGGTTCGATTGAACTATGGTTTTGTCGAACGAATGCTCTATCGAACAAATGTTCGACCCAAACGAAGAGTGAGAAGGCGAACCGTGTCAGAGTGAGGACTTCACGTGAGAGTGAACGAGACAACAATAATATTGTGAATTGTTGAATAATCTCTGAAATTGTAGTGATAAAATCGAATATTGCGCGCATGACCAATGAATCTCTAAGGGCGCGTGTATACGCTAAGAAAAGTCGCTGGGTCTATGCAAGAATTCGTGTCGTTTCTACACACACGAACTGTGTACGCAGTCTCGGCGCCGGACAAGAAAAAAATCTTGTCTACCCCCGCCGCGACGCGCAAAATACCACTGTTACACGATTTATTAATAAAACATAAAATAAAATAAAATTCTTGATTAAATTAGTTTAGTAGAGGAACGACCCGTATTGTGGGACAAAACCTTAGAGATTTATAAAGATAAACGACGTACTTTTGAGGCATGGAGATAAATATTTATTATTCTATACATGTATATAATTTGCAATCACCATTTTTTTATTAGTAGTCAACATATTTCTTCATACAGTCGGTAGTAAAACGACAGTTACCGGGAAAAAACGCTTTTGTGCGCAGCTCTCTAATGAGAAAGAAATCGTTTCCGAGCTAGTGAGATGAAAAATATATTTTTGTTTTTCCCATTTTGTTATTAATTTCCAGTCAATAGAGTTTCGGGAAACTCGACCGAAATTACTAAGTTTTCCAAGGGCGAATGCTAATTTAGTCTTTCGTTAGCAGCTCAATTAATGTGCCCGTTTTATTGTAATCGAGTTTAATCTAGTGCGATAAATTTTTCACTCGGAGGAGGTTCTCAAGTCTACAGTTTTTTTTGTTCCTGAGTAGTTTTTACAATAAGATCCTGAAGCATATATTAAGATTATCATTCCCCAAGTTTAAAAAGTACAATGAAAATATTTTGATTGAAAAGACGTATTACAAAATTGAAGACTACGTGTTAGATACAGATGTATGGAAAGACGACATGGCTCTAGATTCCACACAAATTTGATTCAAAGTGGTTTATTTCTCAGGGAAGTCAGCGTAGTGAACGAGCAGTTGTTTAATGTGACGTTTTCAAGTGTAAATTTATATAAATAAATTAGTCTTTGACTTTGACTTTGACTTAGTGGTCCCATTCGAAGGAAATATTCAATCTCTAAGGGTAGCAAATTAGAAGATGATTCCGGTATATTGGATTTCATCCACTTTCCGTTAACCGATTTCAATGAAACTTGGCAAATAAATGTAATTCTCCAAACTTTTGAGTTCGTTTTTTTTAAATGTAAAAAGACGACAAGTGTGTTTACCTTCATGAGCACGGACTCGCTGAGCTTCTCCCGGTTGATGATCTTGACGGCCACCTTCTTCCCCGTCACGCAGTGGACACCCAGTTTCACCAGACCTGAGGTACAGGAAGAACATATTTGAGTTTCTACAGTATAGTTTCTGTACCAACCCCCCAGTGGACAATTGGGGGGCGTTGGTGCTATCCAGGGGGTGCTACCGCATTTGAAAAAAAAAACCTGATTTGTCTATATAAACTCCACTACATATTTTTTTCCTTGTGATTTTTTTATGTTAAGTTAATATAAAAAAATGCGCGTTTTCTCAATTATTTTTTCGTGTTCTATCAATTATTTTTTGTCGTGGGCTTTGAAGTATTGTTATCTTGCCTAAGTGGGCGTGAACAAAAGTTTGGGAACCCACGTTCTACAGGATTAACTGTATTTCAACATTAAAATTACATTACATGTACCCTGTAAGGGCGTAGCTAAGACTTAAAAAAATATCGTTGTACAACTTAAAAATTAATAATCACTAATAAATGAAATAACAAAATTATTAAATTCTTTTAAATAATAAAATATCTTAATATAGTAATGTAGTATCAATAAAATAATGAATCTATATACTAATTTATTATAATTGTAGAGCTTAATACAGGGAGATCAGAGTTCTTTGTCTCTAACGAAATCTTGTACTTTTTTGTAATTCAATATTTTAATTGTCTATCAATATTTCAAAATTCATTGCAATCATACAACATAGTTTTAAAGTTTTCTTTACACCATTATCTTATGGGGTATGGCCTGAAATAAATGGATTTTTATTATAATAACACTTTTGTATGAGGAGGTTCAACTTGTCACAAAACACTTTTTCGTCTTTCTGAAGTAATATATTACTAGGTACCATGTTATATATTGCTATAACAATTGTAAGTTTAGGCGATTTAGGTACCAGCTTATGCTGTCTACGTTCACTTCTGACATGTTCAAAGAGGTTTATATTGTTTCTAACAAATGTCGCTATTTTGAGTATATACAAACATGGAAGGGTAAGTATCTGTTGTTTTATGAAACAAGATTTACAGCTATGTCTACGGCGTAGGCGTATTTAAGTGTATATGTTAGACATATTAGACAACATCGCATACATTGCTCTGATCCCAAAGTAAGTAGCTATAGCATTTGTGTTATGGAAATCGGAAACAACGACGGTACCCTAAACACCCAGGCCCGAGACAATATAGGAAAGTTACTTTTCTACACTAACCCGGTCGGGGATCAAACCCGGGACCTCAGAGATGGCGACACCATAAAAACCGGTGTGCAAGCTAGTGTTGGGTAAGACATGAAATTAAAATGAGTTTGAGGGAGTACCTATTTGAAAAAATGAGGCGGTACAATGTCCCACTTCAAATGAGGTGAGGTAGTGGGAAGAATGTTTGCACCTACGGCAATGTCACAACAGACAGGGAATCAACAGATCAATCATTTGTTGAATTCGAAGCAGTGTGACATGAGTGAAGCTATGACATGAAGTGAGGTGAGTGTGAGGCAGGATATTTTTATGTCATGAGGTGTTGTGACAAACTGACCAAACGAGTCGCCTCGTGTAAGAGTAACTCAACACTAGTGCAAGCCACTCGACCACAGAGGCCGTCAAGGCCGTAAGTAGTTGCAAATGGTTTGAAAACCAACTCGCTTAAATTGTTGTTGTCAAGTTGTCTCAACCTTTTTATACGTCCCACTATTGGACATGAGTCTCCTCTCAGGCGAAGGTTTAGGCCATAGTCCGCCACGCTAGCCCAATGCGGGTTGGGGACTTTACACTTTTTCCGAGGATTGTGAACCTTCTTCGACGTGCGGGTTTCAACGCTATGTTTTCCTTTACCAAAAAGCTTATTTAAAATTAAATGCCCTGCATAAATTCCGAAAGCTCAGAGTTATGAGCTCGAATTCAAACCTACGGCCGCTGCTTGAAAGGCGGTTGATTGATCAACGCATTTATTCGACCCGAATTTCACCGCGCTCACCCTGCGCGGCCGCCGAACGGCCGCCGGCCGCCGCGCACCGACCGCTTGCGTCTAACTGTCATGGCAAAATACGCTCTATTTACTTAGCTTTTAAGGTTTTAACTTAAATGACTGTCCCGGGCACGCGCACGATACTGGCTTGAATTTGGTCTACGCGGAGGCCGCGCTGTTATACGCGAGGCGCACTATAAGTTTCCGGAATGAATAAGAAAAAAATACTATAAATGGTCAGAAATGAATTTATTGTTTCTCAAAATATTCTCCGTTAGCGTTAATGCACTTTTTCATATGAATGAACCAATTTTGAACATTTATGCCACTCCTCCGTGACAATCTCCGAAACATATTTTTCATACTCTTCGACAGCCTCTTCAAGTGATAAAAATCATTGACCGCGTAACTGGTTTTTAATTTTTGAAACTAAATCAAAGTCACAAGATGCCAGGTCGGGACTGTACGCGGGATGGCTCATAAGGTCAACGTTGGTCACCTTCAAAAATTCATTTGTCCATCTGACCATGTGAGAACTGGCATTATCGTGGTGCAAGATGATACGGTGTTTACGGTTATTTTTACGGAGTTTGCCAATAACTTCCGGCAAACAAATGGTCGAATACCAATCACTATTTACGGTACAACGATTCTCCAAAGCAACAGGAGCCACGTGTCCAGTTTTATTAAAAAGAAGCAATCGTCCGCTTAGAGGCATTTTGCACGCGCGCCATTTTGGTTGGTTTCGGCTGACCTCGAAAGACCCATACGCTCGATTGCTACTTTGTTTTGGGATCGTAACTATAAATCGATGTTTCGTCACCTGTTACTATATCCCACACCAAATTTGATGCTCCTTCGTCGAATCTGGTAAGCATGGCATTGCACCAAGTGATGCGATCCGTTTTTTGAGCCTCAGTCAAATTGTGTGGGATCCACCGAGAGCACAGCTTTTTCACACACAAATGTTTGTGTAGTATTGATTGTATTTGACTCATGCCTATGCCTAAAGATGCCCAAATCTCATGGTATGACACATTTCTGTCTGTTTTGATCATACGGCGCACAACATCGATGTTTTTGTTGTTCACAGCAGTGAACGAGCGACCATCACGAAATTCGTCACTGAGATTCACACGACCGCGTTTGAATTCTGCAAACCAGCTATAAATAGTCGTCTTGCTTGGTGCTTCATAGCCAAAAGCAGTTTGAAGCCGAGCAAAGCTCCGCCGAGCTGTTAAATTACGCTTAAAGTCGTAGAAAATCATACTACGAAAATTTTCACGAGTTGAATCCATGGTGATGTAGACAACCAATTTCTAAAATGACGCCACAATGTAAAAACAACCGACAGTCAGATAAAACAAACTATATTCTACAGCCAAAGAGTTCCATTTTCAAATGTTGTAATTACTTTTTAAATATTGTTTATGTAAGTGGCCAGTTTCGGAAACCTATAGTGCGCCCTATGTGTTATTCAGAGGAATTTCAATGTTGTTGCCTAGTAAATAGAATTCAGATTCACCTTTAAGGTACGCGAAAGCGTGGTAACTTTTCGGAAACTTTCACTATCACGGCATTTCTTTTATAACGCACACACTAATAGTCCCGCGCTAGGGAAGCCCTGTGTCACAGGTACCATGGACAAATAAATTGCACTCCAACTCACTAGAGAAATAAATATTTATTTATTTCAAATGCAAGTCATAACAATGCACGTTCCATTAGTACTTATTGCTATGACATCCCACAGGGGTATGGCACTTAGTCGCCACATTTTGGCTTACATTATTGTTCACACATTACAAAATATAATAATAATATAACAATAAAAATACAATTTAGATCAAAATAACATGTCAATTATCCATCATCAGCCTTGGTCAAATACATAAAACCACGTAACAAATAATTTAACCAAAAACTACGCAAGTTTGTCAATATACAATTCATTAAGTTATAATAGCACTTGTCAATTAATAATATTTTTAATTTTTTAGTGAAATTTTTGTAATTTGTCTCACATCTTAGGTATTCGGGTTGTTTTATTGTGAATTTTTATCGCATTATAATATGGACTAGTTACTCTGATAGATGCTTAATGTACTTTGTGAAAGGCTTAATATATTCTTATATCTAGACTTATAGAAGTGGTTACAGCACTAATGAATAGTTCACTATTTTTTGTAATAAATTTAGCCATTTCAAATATGTACTTATAAGGTAGGGTTAATACTTGTAATTTTTTTAAATGTGGTCGACAAGATTCCATCTGTTTGATATTCGTGATGACACGTACATACTTTTTTTGTTGGATAAAGAGATCATTCGCCTGGGTACTGTTTCCCCATAGCATCAAGCCGTAATTTAATCATGCAAACGCATACCCGTAATAGGTTGATAAAGCTATTTTTAAATTTGTGACAAATTTTAATTCGTGTAAAGCGTAGGTAAATTGGAACATTTTCATCGGGAATCTAATCTGGGACCCCTGCACGGCAGTTACTGTTCAACATGGTAACCGTTCGGCCACAGAGGCTTTACTTTTGTCATATCAGAATTAAATTCCAGCTGTAGATATGTATGAGAATTTTTTCACACGAGTGTTACTGAACAATTGTGGCAGCTACTCGTTTTTCAATTGACGTTCGTCCGTTTCCTCGATTCCTACGACTGTTTGTATTTTGGTTTCTTTCCGCATTTATGAACCAAGAGTGTAATTACACCCATTTCCGTTGAGTAAGTGACACTATACAGAGTTGCTAACACACCCTATCTGCTCTTCTTGTCATTTTTTTATTATACTAATGTCCACTTGCACTAAACCTAGGTACGTCTTAAACCAAAAATTGCAATGCAAAAGACACTCTCTTAATACATTGTGTTAAGAGTGTCTTATCAATTTAAGCATTGGTTTAAGACATACTTAAGTTTAGTGCAAGTGGACATAAGTGACGGGCCGAACAAGTCGTGCGCCGACCTGAGTGGCACATAGGTTGACTAGTCTCATGTGCCTGCAACGAGCACTCTTAGGGTCGTATTCTAGAACTCTATTCAATGTTCAAGTCAGAATTGCACTGGCAACACAAGCA